TGATCAAGCTAACAACGTGCAGTAAAAATACAGCTGCCCTATCCCACCCCATGTTTTCTCTTTCCGTGCATTTCCATGACCCTCTTGCCTGCCAGAAGCACAGTCTCCTGTGCCCACAAACACGGCTGCGGATAGCTGTCCCCCCTCAAGGCTCTGCCCCACAACACCACAGGGCCCTGCTGCCTCTGCCACATGGGTTCCTGCCAGAGGAACACCACCCCTGACCAGGCTAGACCACCACCCTATTTCGATTCACGCTGCCCTTCTCCATCAATGGCAGCACACACAACGGTATCAACACCCGGCTGTGGTCAGGGAGGTCAGACCAGAGCAGCACTGACCCAAATCCAAACTGCCCCGTCCCTAGATTGCATGGTATCCGTGTTCAAAGCTGCGAGGGGAGCACAGCACGTGTCGTCAGGGCTCAGGCTGAGCGCCAACCCAGCATCCAGCACGTCATTCGCACATGCAGGGACTGAAAATCCACTTGTGGTAACAGCACGTCTGTTTCTGCGAGGTGGTGGCCAACTGCGAGTGCTGCTCACTTCATCACCACCTTCCCCTCCATCCCCAGAGCTCATCCCATTCAATAGCTGTATTCTCCTGCAACCCTTTGGAGCAGGAACCACCCAGGTCCCAGCACCCAGAGCCAGGCTCTCCCTTGGTACCTGCAAGCCACTGCAATACAAACACCAAAAGAACAAAAAACTTGAAGGTGTTTCAGCTGCCTCCAAGCTCTGTCCCTGTTATCATATTTCATACAAATATTTGGCTGAAAAATACATTTCCTGGGACACTGCTGCAGCAAGCTGCTACAACTGTCAACCTAAATGATGTTCTGCCAACGGCAATCTCGCAGTGTCATCTCTAATAACACAGTGCTAAATCCCAACTCACGGGGGACGTGCTCATCTGCTGGAAGACTTTTCAGTGGCATGCTCAGCCCAGAGCTCAGCCCTGCTGTACCCACACCCATTGCCCTGATCCCTTCTCCCCATTCCCGCATTTATGGTGGCACAGGATCACGTGCAGCACGACTGTTGAGACCACCACACAAACATCGCTGCTCAGATGTGTTGTTGGTGCTGGGGGAAGGCTGTTGCACATTCTGATTCTTGCCAGCCTGGTCTGAGGCAAAGGTTTTACCCATATACCAGAGCGATGTGTCACAGCAATCACGGCTACTCTGCACACACAGACCAGGAATAGGGTGCAGAGGACACATGGAAGAAAGCCCCCATGCCCACAATCAGGTACATATCTATCTGCATCTTGATGCCCAGCTCACCTCCAGCACCAAATGCCCATAATCACTCTCCAAACTGACCCATCACTTCTAAGAGGGCAACTCCAAGTCTGTTACATTATCCCTATTTACAGAGGCAGAAATTAAAGTGTTAAGGAACAGATTCTCCTCTGTAGCCCGACAGCAGAGAGGAAAGGAGAACCCAAGAGTCCTGGCTCCCAGGACCACGCTTTGTTGACTCTGACAGTAATTTGTGCGATGCAACCACAGCATACCAGACGTGGAGCAAACACATAGCAAGAGGTAATCCCTATCCCCAAGAAAACACACAAAGAGCAAGCATGTGCATGACACAGAGGGGAAAAAGTGAAGTGATAGGTAAAGTGACCTGCTGAGACCACACAACGTCACATTCCCCCAGCCTTTCTGCTACACTCTTCTCTGAGAGGCACTTTATGAAGCATGGCAGCACTTCCTTGTGTATGCCAAGGACCTGGAAACACGACCAGGACACACTGAGAATTAATTCTTATATGAAGAGTTCAAAGTAGGGCTCCAGAGCTTGCATCCAGAAAAAGGAGCTACAAGAAACAAGACACAGCCCCGGCGAGACCTGACCCCCAGCAAAGGCTGCATGCACAGATGGAGCGCCTGGGAAAAGCATCCTGCAGCCAGCTCTTAATGCCCTTTTTGGCAGAGCATGCAGCAGGGACATTCACCATCTGTCCAGGTGAGGGGTGAAGGGACAGAGCTGCCAGATGCGTTTGGTGCTCTGTCCGCTGGGGAGCAGTGGAGATCCAAGGGGAAAATCCAAGCTATCCCTATTCCACAGCAGGCTCTGTTTCAGGGCTGCATGACTGCATCCCGCTCTCTGTCTGCTCTCTTCCCTTCCAGCTCAAAATGCCGCTTCCCCAGGGAACGTCTGGAAATTTGCACCATGAAGTCTGCACAGCCGAAACATCTGCAGCGCTTACAGTACCACCATGCACCGCCGCTCTCTGCCTTGCCTGTGCAAGGCCAGCATGTGTTTAGCCACCGACACACAATACAACCTTCCCCACGTGATGGGGAAGTCACACCGTCAAGGGAAACAACACTTTTGGGGTTTTTAGACCATGCAGATACGACAGAAGGGGGTCGTGCTAATTGCTGCCTCTACTGGGAAAAGGCCTTTAATAAGGGAGATGGAACAATTCCCAGCCATCGTATTGAGCAAGGGGTAGAGGGGGGAGAAGGACAACTGGGCAGGAGAGCTATAGGGAAATGGATTTTTTTGCTATGCACAGCCACTTAAAATCCAGCGCTACCTTTAAGGGGCAGAGGCATGAACATGAAATGTTCCCAGGCTGGCTGGCAACCCAGTGCAAGTGGAAGTGTTTGCAGTATAGCCAGCACGGCCCCAAAATCCATCATGAGGACACAGACTCGGTCATCAGCACACGGCACTGCCCAGTGCCGTCACTGGGACACCAAAGCTGCAGGCACAGCTGGTAAGGAGACACCAGGTCCCGCTGCACAAACCTTTTCCAGGAGCCTTGGCAGTGCAGCGGGACCGAAAGACTGGACTCCCATCTCACCTCAGCACAAATGACTCGCAAGCCATCAGCAGGGAGGGAAGAAGTAGTTTAGTTGTTCCTGCCTGCAGACGCATAGGAGTTTGGTCCCTGAAATTTCCAAAGAAGCAGCTCAAGCAACACTGAATAGCTGTATTTCAGGCTACTGTTCTTTATTTGTGTTTTGTTTTCATTTTGGTTTTTTTTTTTTTTTTCCCCTCGGTTTTTTTGTTTGTTTTGGTTTAGTTTGGTTTTATTTTTTACAACCGGCAAAAGATTTCTGCCTGACCAGTTCACTCCAACTACTATCAGCTGCTTCTGAACAGGGAGGAAAAGACTCCTCAAGCCAGTCCAGGCATCCAAAAATGTGCCTCTGATAGTGAAGTGCTGAAACAAAAAAAGGATCAATACCATGCCAGTCACTCATGGAGGAGTCTGCAGCCTGCACAGGTCACTGCAGTTTCCCATCTGTCTCAGAGATACTTCTCCCCAATTATAAAAAAAAACCCCAGAGATTTAACAGGCATGTTTTTCATCACTATCAGCTCAATCTGGTGAAAAACTCAACCTCGCATATTTGTTTTTGCAGCCAGCGGGTGGTGTGGTGCTGCAGAAGCGAGATTTGGGTGAGAACTCCAGGCAGAAATCTGCTCGGGCCGGCTGGCGCTCCAGAAGGAACGCTTCCCATTTAACCTCTTCCATTGCCTGCATTTGCAAAGCAGATTAAACATTGCAGAGTTACAAGATACTATTATGCAGAACGAGTTATGATGCCAAGGGCAGCATATTCACCTTTGCAGCTTGATCAATATTACTTATCAATAGCAAACCAGACCCAACACGGGAGCTGTCTTCGGAGCGTAGAACAGCCCATAGCAAGCACTCCCCTTGCCTCCGTACTTCATTAAGCACACAGAGGATCTGGCAGGGGCTGGCAATTAGATACAGAGCATTCAACCCCTCACAAATTCTCTGCAGATTCCACACAGATTACCTCCACGACACAATCCATTGATCAGAGGTGTATTCTCAGGCTCCACAGTTAATTACACTCCCTGCTGATGGATGAGCAGCAAAGCCATCTCTGTGAAAATACATTGGTAGCAGAATGCCAAGCAATGCAACCCTAAACAAAGACAAAAGGGGCTGGGAAGGATTTCAGAGCTTTCAAGGTTAAAGCTGCCTACAAAATACACTGGGGTCAGCACGAACAGGAGACAGACATGGCACGGGGGCACTGTCTTGAGAGAAGGGACAGCTCAGCCAGACTCCCAGCCCTGGTGAGTTTGCCTGCTTGCAGGATTGGGATTATACAATACTGGGGAGGCAGCCAGGCATGCTGGGAAGGATGCTGAAGTCTGGAGACCCCCACTGCACTTATGCTCTCAGCTACATTCTCATGTCCAGACTTGCCCACTGAGCTCTTGGTTTTACCGAAAAAAAATGCACTAAGAGACTGAGGCCCAGACTGGGAGGCGAATGACTGCTCACGTCCAAAGCCTTGCTCCAACGTTCTCTGTCACCAGAAGAAATCCCAGCTGAGGCTGTTCCCAAATACCACAAAGATCTCTGGACCCTACCCAACAGTTCAGCAAAGAGCCAGCAACACGGACCCAGAATGCAAGTTGGATGTCACTGTGCCTAATCTCCTCTGAACCCTGCTAGGCAACCCAGGGGAGACACAGCTCCGCCAACAACTCCAGCCTCCAGCTGCGTCTCTTGCTAGCTTGGGCAAGCGTCTTTGTCCATGCCAGCCTTTGCTTGTCTTGCCATCCAAGGCTGCTGGAGGCAGCACTTCCCCAAGATGCAAGCAGGGTACCTGACCCCTTCTAAGAGCCCCAGAGCATAAAGGAGTCTAGGGCTGTTAAAATCCACTCGCTGCTACAATCCACCTGCAAAAAAAATCCCTCGGTGCAGAAACAACCCCATTATTACTGGCTGCCTAGTCCTGGGGGTGGGCAGAGCAGGCAGCTGTGATTCCCAGGTGGCAACACCTCCCAACCCAACCTGCTTATCCCATCACAGTAAAGGGAAATCTTTAATAAAATGCCTTCAATGCAAGTTTTAACCAAAGCCTGCCATGTGCAGAGCCACACCAGCAGGAGAGGCTGTCACTGGTATTTCAGCTCAGCTTGCCATCACACAGAATGGCTATTCGGCAGACGTGTGCCCAGCCCAACACACTCCTGCCTGCACCTTACCTTTCAGGACACTGAGGACTGCATCATTGCTGTAGCGTTTTCGGGCGGCGTTGGTTGCCACGCAGTGGTAAGCCCCAGCATCACTCTCCCGCACATCCACGATTTGGAGAACACCATTTGGAAGAGTTATAAACCTGAGTGACCAAAAGGAAGAGGGTGAGACAGGCTATGTCTTACCTGAGCCATTCATCAACTCAAAGCCCTTTTACCCCTTCTTTTTCACCTGCAGATCTATCAGGCACAGACCCTGGTAATCACAGCAGAGTGGGACCAACAAACCTTTGAGCCACCCAACTGGTGGTTCTTAAAAAGCAGCAGGTACAGACCCATCAGCAGAACTGGATTTTTCACAACCCAGGATCTGCTTTTGGGAGATCAGACCACCAAGGCTTTGCCGATACAAGCAAAGTATAAAACAACTACGTATGTACATACACATTTCTACATGCAGATTTGTACACATCCAAGTGTACAAGTGTCTTTACATACACTACAGCCAGTTTCACCACTTGCTTTTCACAAAGGTCTGGTACACAAGAGAAAAAAAATACATTGCAAAGAAGTCTGAACATTATCTTTTTCCTGCTGCACCTCAAGCACATGAAGGGACCAACTGATACACAGCTACACCTTCATGGTCCAAAGCAGTCAGGACAACTGCCTGAAGCTGTGCCCTTCCTGGGTTGTGTTGATTGCTTTTGTTCTTCCAAGAGGTTCTGGCTTTCACAAGCTGACAACCTTACAGCGGGCATTCAGTATCTCCCCCATTTGCCCATGGGGTGCTACTGGGCAACACTTCCATGGAGTGAAATGGCTACATAGCTCACAACACTAACACAATCCTTGCCGCATTCTACTGAACAAAGCAGATGATTAGCAATTAGCATAAAAGTAGGAGCTGGCTGTCAGCATCTCCATTTTCTGCCTGGATTCCTAAATGGCAGCCTCTTTATTCTTGAATGCAAGGCGCAAAGCCTACGTGATCCTTTTTAATTATAGATGAGATCCATTTTTAATTGCAAGCCTCTATAAACAGAGCTGCCGAGCTTTGACAGGCAGCTCTGGGTTATCAGTCTTCATTATGAAGAGGACACATTCAAAGGCAATTGCTAAGGGGAGGGGATAGCAGTTATTCCACAGGAACAGCACAAAGACAAGTTATAACCATGAATGCCAGTCCTTCCATCCACAAAGATTCCAACAAGTATACCTGATAAGTAAAACTGTGGTTCTCCAGGTGCTGAGACAGCTGGAGTGCCACGAGCAAGGGTCATGGAACCAGAAGGACCTTAACAGATCACCCATCCTGTGTTCAAGCCATGGTCACCAACAGCACACCTGCGCCTGCAAACATTTATCCTGAAATCTGCAGTAATGGAAGTACCTCCCCTGCCCTAAGCAGTCTGTTCCAGAGACAAATATCCCTGCTGCGAGTCTAGCATCTCTCCTGGACTTCAATGGCTGCAATCTGGGCTCATCACTTCTTGTCCTCTTCACAGCTGATGAAGAAACAGAAGAGCTAAGAGAGCTCCTCCAGAGACCATACTGTTTCTACTGGCACAATCCTACAGCTTGATTCATGGACACAGACTTGCTGAAGCTTCCCACGTACACAAGGGCAACTGCCCCACATCCCTAAAACCATGCTCCCACTACTTACAAAGACACTCTTCTCGGGATCAAGATCCAGAGACCTCAGAGGAGGTGGTACCCAGAAAGCCCTCATCAGGATGCCTCATCAGGACTCAGGAGAAAGACGACAAATATTTGCATCCTCTCAGCTCTGCGGAGGGAAAGCCTCCCACTGCGATAATATTTATTTTTGTCGTGCATCTGCTATTTGAGTCTGTAATTAATATCAACATATTTCAAACACTAGGCAAGGCATCTCCCAGCCACAAAAAGACACTCCAATTATGTATCACA